TTATATAGGTGAAATCAGTAAAAGCGAGCGACTTACCATTTCTCATCTTGAAAGTTGTACTTTTCTTTGAATTTATCATACCCCCGGGAGTTGTCCGATGCTACTGTCATCAGAGCTCTGCCTCCGTGTACACATATTGGGCTAAAACAGATGCCAGAGAAACAAAAATATCTAAGGGCCAAAATTCATACGCACAATCACGCATATGGATATGAACAGTGCATTTAATGCTCACTTCACCTTTTTGGTACATGTCCAGGATGCGACGGTGGCAGATTTTCAAGTTACCAGTGTCGCAGCTGCCATTGCAGTTCTACTATCACAAAGGTGACTTATAGTGGTGATTATGAAGAAAACAGCAAATTACTTCCCAAACTCATTCTCACTGAACACAGCATTCCTTTTTCAGAGGAGCCTCTGCCTGGTATTTTGTGAAAATAATTCTGCACATTCTCATCAATAATCAGGTTTGAGGATGATCTAAAACTCTTTTCAAAAATATATAACGAATAAATATGTATATCAAGAATATGAAATTAACAATGTTACATTTCACATGTACACTTAACGCCCCTTATGGGTTGTCAGTAAATTTGCAACTGACTGATGCATGTGATGTGCAAAACAGCTGAGATAAATAGATGCATAGAAGAGATTCGCTAATCTTTGAATCGATGTTTCATATGGCCATTTAAGTGTACTGCATCTCAGTATTGTTTATATGATGCTTCTATTGTCCAAGTGCAAGATGGTGTCACCACTTATCAGATCACGGATTGTTGAATAGCCGTGTAAAAGAACGTAGTTAGAGAGTAGTCTGTATTTGCTGCAAAGCAAAAATACCCGATTAGCAAATCAGAAGATTGCTTAGAAGTCGATCTCTGTTTCAAGTTCACGCAAAGTAATCAAGTCGAGTTCGCTAGTGCACCAAATTTACTAACTAAATGCCTGATAGCAGATTTATGAACCATTAATACATATACGCCTAAGTGGTGTGATACCACTTAGTCCGACATGCAACGTGAGCTTGACGAATGGCTCGTTCGTCGAACACGTAAGGCTGTATACCCTCCCGAACACCTTACTCAAAGTCTATAGTTTACTAACTAAATGCCCGATAACAGATTGAAGAACCTTTTATACATCTACGCCTAAGTGATTGATACCACTTAGTCCGATATGGAACGTGAGCTTGGCGACTGGCTCGTTCGGCCAATACGTAAGGCTGTATACCCTCCCGAACACATCACTCAAAGTCTATAGCTCGTAACGATCTACAACTTCCGAAGTCAACAAACAGAGAATACAATTTATCAATAAAGGCTTTCACGATCACTATCCGAGGATGCCTGGAATGGTGTGTGTCTTGACATCACCAAAACATACGATAAAGTGGCCCTCCCGCGCATGTGGATGCTGTTGCGCCATGCTGGAATGCCAGATAACTGGATCAGTTGTCTCCGTGCATTGTTCGAGAATGTTGCCACACGGGTGACGTATCGTGGGAAGCTTTCATTTCTATTCCATAAAACGAATACCATACTCCAAGGTTCGATTGTCGGTCCACAGCATTGTATCATTTATATGGGCTCCCTGGCTATTACGCTTGAGCAATCTCGGTCGAAACTCCTCCGCCCCTACCTCTTTGTAGATAACACGCTCATCCAAACGCGATCGAGGATTGGGGTCGCCAATCCCGTCTAGAACAAGGGATTCTCAAGCCCCCAGTCTCTTCGTATCAAAGGACATCTCATTACGACAACGCTAGTAGGCTCCTCAAATGCGAACACTCTCGACAGACGCCTACTTATCCCTCCCATGCCCGTGGTAGCCCAGGGCATACCGGGTATCGACTTTGTGAAACACATGGACCGCCTCGTGTATTCCTCCAGGCTATAATGTCCTTCCGGGCGTATGGGTTTCATGGGTTCAGCTGGCGCCATCCGCGAAATCGGTTGGAAATATTAAAGACATTCATTCTTTTAACGGCCACCTATGATCTGAACATCATTGCATGGACTCCACCTATTTGGCATGTCGCGTCGAAGACGCTGTACGAGCGGTACAACTCAGCGCTGATTCAAGCAGCAGCCATTATAACAGGCACTCTATTTTCAAAACTCCCACACCACCGCATACGGCTTTTTCGCTTCTGCAGCTTACTTTCAGCACGCCAATTTGCGAAGTACCCTGAGGCCTGTCTGGGACTACATCTTGACTCGATCAACATTACAAACCCACTCGCCTCACTTAACGAGATCCGCTCGGACACGCAACAGATCTACGGATAAATTCCCGTTCAGTACTTACGCTTATCTAGAATCAAGGGGCGGATGCACATTTTAACACAAAGAACTCCGTAAAGCTCCGCGAGCAGATCCGACATAATACCACACAACATCTCACAACTAAGGAGATAACAGGCAAGGCTCGCCGCCAATACTACTATCGATGTATAGGGGGAGAACTTTCCAGCACGGACCGGGACAAGCTCTCCCATGATAGCTTTACCCATAGCCGTGAACACATCCCAATAAGCCTTTGTGCCATGGTAGCAACCAACACGTTCCTGTTCAAATTGCTTGACTATCGCACGGGTGGATGCCTCTGTCTTGTGTGCCTCGGAGATAAGACTTTTACGTTCAGCCACTTTGCTTGCATCAGTTACCTAATGCGGTGTATTCTGGTGGGCCCTAATCTACCCCCAATTGGACCGGATATACAACAACAACTACAGAATCGGCATGACTACCACGGCATATGGACTCTCCACGAACATCTCGGGAGATTCCTTCTCCATGTACAGCGGGCACCAATTTATCTCCATCCAGTACTGGTCGATAAATTGATGTTCCTCATACCCCGTCTCATCACTATACTGAAGTACTATTTTCAGATTTCGGTTCAGACCAAATCTTTGAGACTTCTGGTACCACCTATGATGCTTTCCGCTATGGCTGGCCAGGATATTCCAAATACATTAGTTGTGTGGTATCAGGTAGTCTCCGACTTTGCTCCGAAACAGAATTGCGGATGACAACCTCACCCTTCTTGGTATCGCGTTCAAAACATCTCAGACTGGCTCAGCCCATATTACCACTACGAGTGTGGGCCAGCTTTATTCCACGCAATGGCACACAGGTTTTAGTTCTCAACCAATGGTAGAGATATTCTATATCCATCGTCGTGGACTAACGCACCGTATGTCTTCCATCGTTGCATCACTCGCCCCGAGCTTCTCGCGGCAGTTCGACAATCTTAACTTCCCTCCAATCTTCCCAGAACCTCGCCACGAATATGAAGCCTGATGTGCATGTGTACATATAAAAATCTATCCAAATTGAAATAAGTAATATTATCCCTTTGCGAATGTGAGAAGAAATTGAAATAAGCAATATTATCCTTATAAGCACTGCACCATAAACACGGCATGCCAATTTGATCACGAACCTGGAAGTAGGCGGTCCGAATTTATTTTAGACTTTTGGGATAGATACACAATGTAAATATTTGGTATAAATGCGTTACACCTGCAGCGGCTCAGACAAATACTTGCTATCTCTGTATTTCTGATTATATAGATGCTTGAGTGCGTATGTGATTGTTCATGTTAAAATCAAAAGGTATGCTTGGAGTATCTCAATATTCATCTCCATAAATTATAAATCATCCGAAAAGTTTGTGCTACATAATGCGCGATGAACTTGTGTTTCGTGACCCCATGAGGAGTGCCAGACTTCCGAATTGGTACAAAGTTTGTGCTATCGCATGTCGATAAACATCCGTGCCTGACCAACAAGAAGTGGGCCAAATTCAACATTATACATCCGAACACAATAAGCACCAGTATCTGTAATAATTTCCGAAGCACGAAGTAGAATGACTCTCCATTACTGTCTATACCCGATTTCGACACTCGACTTTGAGCAAATAGACAATCTAGTAATACTCCGTAATGTGCTGTAAACATGGGAGATGGATAACTGTCGGAATTCGTGATTTGATGACGTTAGACGTCAAATAGAGGTAGTAAGTTCGAACAGTCACCTGTCTGACTAGACTTAGTTTGGTACCCGATAATATTGTAGTCATGAAGAGCTTGCGGAGTCATATATATTTTGCAGCGCCTCAAAACCAATACTTGCTGGAGATGAATTGTTGCCACTTACCAAAAGAAAAGGTCTGCCTTGAGTTCGCTATTGAATTTTTCAAAATATGCCTCTATTTATTCCAAACCATCCACATAAAAATCATACTACCGCGACAATCTGTCTCTAACCTGGCACTGTAGAAAAAGGTACATATTCATCCGCACGTAAAATGATCAGCATGTACTTTTCTCGGCTAAGAACGAAGAAGTGAGACACAACAGTTTACTGTAACTAATTTCCCATATTGAACTTTGTTGATGAAAATGGATAACTGTCTGGAAGGGAAAGGAATCCACATTTGCTGACGCAAAATATGAATCTAGCCAGCATAATTCGACCGGACACTCGTACTGGCTGGACCTTACTTGGTATTTGCCATAGTTTCATTATGTGTTTAGCTGATACATTCAATGCCGAAATATACTCCAAGACACAATGAGGATACAAATCCTTTGGTGCCTTTTGCTCAAATTGTATAGTTTTCAACCACAGTCAAGTCTTCAAGCTCGATAATACGAAAAGGAACTAAGCAGAGAATGGACAATGCCAGGCAAGATCTCTTGCACATGGAACAAAAAAGAAGTTGGGCAATTGAAATACACGTATTTAAGCACCCAAAATAATCTACTTTGATATGTATATGTGGTATAGAGATGAGTCAAGTTAAATAAAGAAATCTCGGATTCGATCAATGTAATAAATACTGTTGGACCACAGGAGAGAAGTTAAACATATGTGTATATGCATCAACAGAGGGCAATGCATAAGCTTGGGTCAACATAACCACACCTTACGAATTTGACGTTGACCGCGGACAGGGTTACGATATAATGGTGAAAGTAAACAGATCAACATGAAGTTGAACAAGGGCTTCCTCTACATCTCTCCTAATACAATCATAGCGTAAATCTGGTTTTTGAATATCCTGCTTATATGAATGCGTATAGTGCTAAAAGGGCCATAAAGATGTAGTATATACTCTTACACTATGTAGGCTGCTTTGTTCATCATCAAACACATATATTGGCGATGTACCAGATAGAATTCCCTCCACAGCTCTCCTAATACAGTCATAGTATAACTCGGGGTTTGAATACCCTGTTTTTTTTTGAATGCGTATATTGCTTAAATGATCATATAAAGGATGTAGTATATATTCTTACACGTGTAAGTTTTTGAATACCCTGCTTGTATGAATGCGTATAGTGCTTAAAGGATCATAGATATGTAATAAATTTTGATTACACTATGTCGGCTGCTTTGTTCTTCATCATACACTTGTGTCGGCGATGAACCTGATAGTTTCCTATACAGCTCTCCTAATACAGACATAGAGTAAATCTTGAGTTTTAATACCCTGCTGGTATGAAAGTGTATTGTGCTTAGAGGATCATATGGATATAGTATATATATTTTACGCCATGTGGGCTGCTTCGTTCATCATCATACATTTATATTGGCGATGTACCTGATAAAGTTACCTCTACAGCTATCCTAATACAGTTATAGCGTAAATCTGGGGTTGAAGAACGTGCTTGTGTGAACGCGTATAGTGTTTTAAGGATCTTAGGGATGTAGTACATATCCTTACACTATGTAGGCAGCTTTGTTCATCATCATACACATGTATTGGCGATGTACCTCACAGAGTTTTGTCTACAGCTCTCCTAATACAGTCATAGCGTGAATCTGGTTTATGAATACCCAGCATGTATGAATGCGCATAGTGATTAAACGATCATAGGAATGTAGTATGCATTGTTACATTTTAGGCCACTTCGTACATCAATTCGATAAAGGATCTTTTGGTGAATTGCAATAATGACAACTGGTAGCTAGCTGACAGTTGTCGATTGTATGCTCTTACTAAAGTTTTCACTGAGAAAGTATAGCATCACCTGAAGGGAAATGGGTTTCCAAACATTGTATGTCATTTAGACAGGGTGATGGCCATTCGGACAGCTAATGTAGGTTGAGACGAAATTAAAACAAATCACCAGCTGTCATAGTGTTCAACGTTAATCGCCGTGATTCAAGCGCTTTGAACGTAACAGTGTGTATGCAATCCTTAAACGATAGTGGTAAATTGACTGACTTTTTTTCACAGTCGATCAAGTGGAAATTATTGTCGAAAGTTGGATTAGCCTATACAAACAAAAGTTGACACAGCATGAAGTAGAATGTCTACAAAATTCCTGAGCTGCGCTCTCTTCTCCGTGGTAAAACTTTACAGTCGTTAAAGCTTGCTGAAGGTAATGACGATCGATATCGGTGCTGTGTTTGCAAAGAGGATAAATAAATACATTCCTCTCACAGAACAAAGGGCCAATTAGGCGCTCATTTAGAATAGACGCGACTACATATAAGCAAAGACGTGAGAGGTCATAGATACTTGCGAGCTTTGCTTCAACTGCTGAAAAGTTCAACACAAAATCGCATAGCTTATCACCTGTTATGTCAGAGATTCCTATAGAGACTTTTTTTCTCAATTTTTTTGAGCTTCTTTCGATTATTTTTATTGAGGTTTCTCCGGGTCATTACGTATTCTCTTATGAATCGCGCTCTAATTATAATACAGAGCGCCCTTTCTAAACCTCAATCTATCACAAAGTTTCTTTGTATTTCCGAGTGCTTTCATCATTTGAACAGGAGTACACTGTGCTTCAGGATAGAGATATAGTATCTAATCCTTGGTAAATGCGCATTTGACGGACCTTGTACTTCCTTGCATTAAACACAAAAAAATAACGTAAAACTTCGAAAAGCACACACAATATAGTTCACAAATAAACTACCACGTGATGAATCTGAGGCTCTACATCATCGTCAAGATTTACTACTTCATACTTATTAATCAGTATGAAGGTTTCACTCGGGATATACATGTCGACGCACAGCTGCAGTTCTCAGTGGACTAGAACAGTGATATTCTGCTCTCTACAACACTAAACATTTAGTATATATGATAAAATTCGACAGAAAACAGCCACAGTCGATCTGCATAAACCGACTACTCAACACCAAAATGGAACGATATGGTAAAATCGAATATATCACAAAGGTAATAGGGCACGATACAGGCAGTTATTGGGTGTGTGTGTGTGTGTGTGGGGGGGGGGTTGCTGAGTCAGGTTAAGCTACGAATCGCAGTCATACAGTAAAGTAGATTTAACTGGCCAAAATATTCTGCTGGATAAATTTAAGGCTCGTGTGTTGTTAAGCGTCGCCCGTACATGCAGTTTTGGCCATGTATGATGTGGTATAGAGACATCCTCTATTTTTATCTCTTCTAAGACATATTTTATTTAAAAAAACCTGTCTTATGACTCCCTAACTGCTTGCTTTATCAAATCATATAGCTTCTTTTTTAGAACAACGGATAGCTCAAAGGGGTCTTTCCATAGCCTTCTTGATCAATTTTCAGAAGGCTATGGTCTTTCAAAAGTACAAAAGGGGAGCGGCAATCGAATCAAAAGCGATTGTGTCGAATTTACCACCCTATCAATTTAATGAGACCAATAAAGGACTTTAAAAAAGGTACCAGAATAGTGTCTCCGACAAACTCGTTAGTCTGACTGTATGTGACTTTCATCGATTCTGACCACCGAACGAAGTTAGAGCATTCAATTCCAATCACTCAATACTCTTAAAGCTATTAACTACCTGACTAGCCCTCAAGTTGGTACTGTAACCCGTGGTGTTGTTCACACACGTTTATGATGATGTCCCTTTGCAAACGGTGTTTTGTTAAAATATCCGTTTCTTATGAGATCAAGGTGTGCTGACTGACCTTATCTGTTTAAGGTAATGCAAACTTTCCCATATCTTGTATAAAGCGTGCGGCACACTTTCAATTCCACTTATTCTGGCGGCCTTTTCAAGTACCCATGTATCACAGTGCACAATTCCCTTCCAACTCTATCGACGCTCTAACTTCCTTGCAAAAATGACACGTGCACAGGGATAGCCCGACCATGGTCGAAACTCTTAGAGCGCTTAGAGAGCAAGGCCCTGCAAGACTATTTCACATGATGTTCTCGAATGAATGTAAAGCTTGTGGATGACGTTTGATCATTTACACCTCTTGTTGCATGTTTTGCATACATTTGCCATTTTTTCTCGTGCTCGAATTGGATATATCTGAATATGGTGTAACTTGCCACCCAGAAGTTTCGAGCAAAATTACTCGATAATTCGATATTTCTTTTCCTACTTTCTCATATTCGAGGTTTGATACTACGGATATGAAAATCACATTCTATATCACTCGCTGCGGTTACTATACAGTTCGGGGATATTGTAGTAATGTACTGTCATCTACGATGGTATACCTGGTTTAAGAGAGTCATGCTTTCAATCAAACAGTAAAAATGTGATGTTGTCGTCGAAAATTACGTCACCGCAATCACCGCGGTCGAAATTAAATCGAGATCGATTTCACCAATAGGCAATTGATTTCGATAAAGATCTAATGTAGACTTAAAAAACGGCAGCCGCATCATCAGCGCCACTAAGTGCCTGGCTTGTTCACTAATAGTATGTCAATTAAATGATCATTTCAAGTTTGACAACGTTCAGCTAAGAATGTATACCTTTCTTGTTGGATTTTTTATTGTAGTATAGCGGAGCTAGCCGCGAATCACTCGTGCGGATAAGGCAAATTTCATCTGGTCAAGGAACTGACTGAAAATACATGATTTAAATTGGACATTGAAACCTGCCTATTGAAATCGGCTCCACAGAGTCTAACAGCGAAAGTGAAAGGCATGACCACAGAAAATGCTTCATTATCGACGGCCATCGTAGGTTATTGGCACTTGATATCGACTGACAGCTGCCAACATGCGACGAGCCCTACTTTACAACAAGTGCGCTATACGATAAAAGTCGTGTTTATCTTTCAAAACAAAGTAGTTGACTAATACTATATTATTTATTGCATATCGTTTGCTTCTATAGCAGGCTGCTGAGCTTCGCGCTGAGACCCTTCATCGCCTGCTGCATGTGCTCATTATCAGTCACCTGTGATGAGGAATTGAGATGTCAGATCTCAAGACTTAAGATTAAGAACATCGGTGCAACCAATTTCACTCATCTCACTTGATATTGTGCACTGAAAGGTTTGTCGACCGCAAAGATGTTCGCGTATGTAGATGGACATATATAGTGACAATTTTCGTCATTTATGGGATACGAGACACTCATTTTTTTGTACTTGAAAATTGCGTACACATACCCGTTTCGCAATTTTCATAGGATTTATTCTTTCAAGCCCTGAGCCGGCGAGTTTTAGTTTAAGTTCCCTACAATTTGGGCACTCTAGAGTCGCGGGGAAAAAGTGAAGTTAATTTAAATATCGAATTTCCTTACTGGCTGATGTTTTGGCGATACTGAAATGAGCAGCGTCCCTCTTCATTAAAGACCCACCGACAGTGTCCGATTCTAGTACTTACCTTTATCTGTAGCATTTCGGACCGCCTCCTGAGCTTTAGTGATGTCCCCTGCTTCCCTGCTTGGCAGAGGTATACAGACATTTGAGACATTGCTCTGAGGTGGAGCACAGCACAGGTTGATAGTCACATCATCACCAATGTACCTGAAGCTCTAACTAGAGCTAGAGGACACCAAAAGTAAATAAATTCGTGTTCCCTACCACAAATGGGTGTACTAACTGCGAGCACAATACCTTTGTAATCGATCAATTAGGTCCAAATACTGTATTGACATCTGCTCGAGGTCTGCCTGTGGGTTGGAAAAGTTGTAGCGGAAGAAATACAGAGAGAAAAAGAAAGATTGGTTGTGAGCTAGATCCCAAAAGAAAGAAATATACTAATATTTTAATTTACCAACACAAATTGAATTACTACCGATAAATTAAATTGAAATGCGCAAACGTGAACAGCCGCGTGTGAATGGAAGTGCAAAATACTATGCAATTACCGATATCTATATGACCTTAAACCTCCAAGGTGTTTAGGCGACACGATCCAATACTATTCATCTTGGGTATATACCATGTCAGCTCGTTCGTGGTACAAAGTTATACTTACGATCTACAAAAACCCTTAAGAGGAGACAAAATATAATGTACGAACCTTTTGAGCGTTATTTGTTGTGGTAAGTTTCTCGATTTCAGACTTTAGACGAGATGAATCTTCCTTTTTCTCAGAAAGCTCATCGTTAGCCACGTTGATCGCTTTCACAAGACTGTCGATTTGAGTTTTGAGGTCTAAATCCGACATCTCGAGCTCTACGCTCTTCATTTCATACTCGCGCAACTCCTCTCTCAACAACTCTATCTCGTCCAGCTTGCACCGTATAACATCGGCCTTCTCTTGTATGCTGAAGTCTTTCTCTGATATAGTCTGCATTTTCTCCCGGACTTCGTCCTCCATTTTCGTGAGCTGTGAGAATGTGCGCGAATGACAAACATATCGAAATTAGATGTGTGTTTTCAGTTATGTTCCATGTATGAACTACGTGGTATTCCATTTATGATTTTCGAGCTACTCCAGGTATGCCCACGCATGCAACAACTTGTCACTACCACCCACTTGACCTACGACACTCACGGAGGTCCGTGCATGTTGTGATCTGTACGACAACGTGGTTGACTCGCAAATAAAACATGTGTGCTAACGGTGTGGAGTAGTACGGTCGAGTCTACATAGAAAAACAACAAAGTATTTGGGATCCGCTCACCTCCTCGCTCAGTACCATATTCCTTCCCGTTTGACCCTGATATCGCTTTAGATTAGTATCAACATCTTTTTGCAGTTGCTTGTTTTCCGCGACAACAGCACGGTAGCGGCTTACCAGATTAGCCTACAGAAATTTGAAAGAGGACCGTCAACCTATTATAATAGAGCCGGAAAATCGGACTACTACCATTGAGCGATTGTTTCCAAGCCTGAAGTGTGACACAACTGGGGTATACTATACCTGCTGATCTCGCATGCCAATTAACTGATTCTCCAGCTGACTCAATCCAACCTGCGAGTCTTTCCTCAAAGTCTCTCGCTCGGTCTCCGTACGCTCCAGCCTGAGGGCTGTTTGCGACACTTGCGCCGCCAACGAGTCATACGACTCTTTACTGACTGTTTGTATTCTGCGAGCGAATGAAATATGGTTAGCTTTTGTTCGAGGAAAATACATGCTAAGCAATTCTGAAATTGGTACAAATTGCCATGCAATCATAAGAAATATACAATCCGGACACATACCAATCATTTGGACGGCCGAGGTCAACGTCAGTTGGCATATCATAATTAATCTTCAACATGCATGGGCAATGAAAATGACTACACACCGGAGAAAGTACTTCCAAAGAGCCACACTGACATTACGAGTCTAAACCCACAAGTATACATACCTCAGCGTCATCATCTGCTCCTCCAGAGCTCTGTTCCTTGCAACGAGATCCTGCACTTCCTGGCCACGAGCCATTAGGTTTTCATTTATCGACTGTATTTCCATGTTCAGTCCCGTACTGATGTGGCGCTCCTGTTCTAATGCTCGCTTGGCCCCCTGTGAGCACGGCCGTATGCAAACACTCAGTCCGTGTACGTATGTAATCCCACACCAGACCCGTACTATTTGTAGAGTGCCAATTGCTGCAGCTACAATACTATGTGCTAAAGTAATCATGCGGTGGCTGTCACGGACGAGCGCATACAAGTGCATAAAATAATCGATCAAACTCACCTGAAGGTGCGAGTCAATCTCTGTATTTTCCGCTCTCAGGGCCTCAAGTCGCTGCATTTGTTCATTGATGATGCCATCATGATCAAACTTTGCCTTGTTTTGCTCACGTAGTTTGCTGACAGCTACATCTCTCTCGTCAGTGCACCTGATGGTACCAGATTAGGAGTTAGGGCTTAGATCGGTGGTTTCTGTGTAAATTAATATTCCTCGGACAATGCGGTGCTGCGGTCGATACAATTAAAAACTCATCGGCTCTGCCGGATTTCTCTGCGCTTGATTCTACTATTTTGGTGGCCAAGAAGCATACAAAGATACTTGGTATCATCACAAAAGAAAACAATGAATTTTAGTGAGCCATGCAGCTGTGTTTATCAATAAAACATAGCAACTTGGCAAGACTTAATTAACAGACAGCTTGTTACGGGCGACGCCAAATCACACAGACAATGTGGCGGAGATCACCACAGCGCAGTCTATCAGGTACAGTCCTATAACACAGGTAGTACGCACGAGATAAATAGAACATCACCAACACACTGTCCGTCAAGCGTAATCTAAAACCCCAAAAGTAACGTGATTCACTCGCAAGACACTAGAAACAAGCAATCTATCAGGCATGTAGTATCACAACGACACGTTCCGTCCGCAGGCGACTCATACATTTGTAACTCCTCTCTCAGCCTGAGATTCTCCTCACTAGCGTCGGCGAGCCTTTCTTCGAGCTCCTCGAACACACGCTCATCGCGCCTTGCCTGTTCTTCCATCGAGCGGATTCGGTCGTTGCTGCGCCTCAGATCGGCTTGTATGTCGACGGAATCTAGCTTCAGAGCTTCGTTTTCCCGTCGGTATCCGTCTACTTGTTTCTTCAACTCTGCCAGTTTCCTTTCGAGTAGCTGTTTGTCCTGAGCCAATTGTCGGTAGCGCTGTGATGGGGCAATTGGAGTGCATGCCTTGCCTTTCAATAGAGTGATAGGTATATGCAGAAAGAACTGCGAGAGGGACACCCTCCACACTCAACGTATACAGCTGGCGCTTGCTGGATATAGCGAGTACATGATTTAGACTCTGAATAAAACGGTGTAGATGTACACCTTATGCTACATGGAACTTCGGTTGGGTTGGAAATTGGGGCGATTGATACTATCGTGTACGCAATGGACGCGTGTGGGTTTCATAGCTCCCGTAAAGTCGCATAAACTCACGATATTACATTCGTTCGTTGAAATATAAAAGTATGGACCCGTGCAGTGTATTTTACACCGCATTAACTAAGCGTGTTAGACAAACAAGAGGCTATCAAGGACACACACAATTACAGTCATTTGAGGCCTATGTCATACATATAGCTAGCAGAATTAGTGGGTTCTTTATATGCGGTAACAAATACATAATCACATATGATTTCACACATGCATGTCTGTATATATCTATATATATGTTCAAATATTAAGAGAATGCGTCCGCTTCAGTAAATAAAAATCTGAAGAATCATATAGATATATGTATATAAATATATTTTCGTATATAGTACACACACATACAAGGTACAAGGACCCAAAAGAATATGTATACATATACTTTATGTGGAGAAGTATATTAATATTGAACGAACAGAAAACTAATCTCTACGTTTTAAGGTACCTGAGATATAATCAGGCGTATGAATCTACTCATATAGAGAACCAAAGGTATGCTGCTATTGATACATACACGTGCATGTATTCCCACGTTTAATAACCTATCCACAGATTTATTCTCATATACATACATACATACATACATACATACACACATACACACACACATATATATATGAATATATATATATATATATATATATATAAAGATATATATATGCATATATATATACATTCAAATAATTTTACATATACATTTACAGTTACACACACACACAATATACATATATATATATGTATATACTCCTATATATATAT